CTCATTCATCCCTTCCGGCACAATTGACAAGAAAGAGCAATTCATACCTTTGGCCTGGCGGTGGCTGGGTATCAATCTATCAGCAGGTGCAAAAGTAGCACATGAAAATGGCTGAGTATTTACCTATAGGAAAGTGTAAGATTAGCTGACAGAACGCCAATGGCTGAATATTCGCCTATTGGCAGGTGCGTAAGTAACGCGGGCGGCGCCGATTCACATATCGGCGGATGCACAAGTAGCGCGTGGCGCGCAGATGGCTAGATATTCGCCTATTGGCCGGGGCGAAAGTAGCGCGGGACACGCCCATGGCCAAATATTTGCCCATCAGCAGGGGCAACAGTTGCGCACAGTGCAGCGATAACCCAATATTTACTCATCTGAGTGCCACACACTTAGTGCATCTGCAGATAGGTAAATATTGGCGCGCTGAGCACTACTTGCAAGCACGCCGATAGGTAAATATTCAGCCATCGGCGCACCGTGCGCTACTTGCACACCCGCAGATAACCAAATATCTGGCAATCGGCGCGCCGCGCGCTACTTTTGCACTAGTCGATAGGTGAATATCTAGCAATTGGTGCGCCACGCGCTACTCCTGCCGATAAGCAAATATTTGGTCATTGGTGCACTGCGCGCTAATTGCGCACCTGCCGACGGGTAAATATATGACCATCGGGGCATCACGCGTTAAATGCGCACACGCCGATGGACAAATATTTAGCTATCGGCATGCTGCGCGCTACTTTTTCACCCGCTGATGGACAAATATTCAGCCATCAGCGCGCTGCGCGCTAATTTCGCATCCGCTGATGGGTGAATATCGGGCCATCGGCGCGCCACGCGCTACTTGTGGACCCGCCGATGGGTAAATGTCTGGCCATCGGCGCACTGCGCACTACTTGTGCACCCGCCGATGACTGAATATTCCCCCATCGGCGCGCTGCGCGCTAATTTCGCATCCGCCGATGGGTGAATATCTGGCCATCGGCGCGCCAAGCGCTACTTATTCATCCGCTGATGGGTAAATGTCTGGCCATCGGTGCATTGCGCACTATTTGTGCACTCGCCGATGACTGAATATTCGCCCATCGGCGCGCTGCGCTACTTTCGCACCCACTGATAGGTAAATATTTGGCCATTGGCACCCTGGGTGAACCCAAGAAATAACCATGAACCCCCCCTGTTTTTGCTGCCATAATCCACCACGTGACTATGACGTCATACATACATCATCTTTTGACCGCGCTAACCGGTCTTAAGTCGCATCAATGTGGTCCTGCTGACCATCCCCATATAGTATGCCCGAGCCTCTTACAAGGTTAGAATGACTCCGTCCGCCGATTTCGCCGAGGGCCGGCCAATCACATCGCGGATAGTCATAATGCCCATTACGCACCCGTCCGACGGCTTCGGCTTCGGCACGCGGTGTCCATGGTACTGCCCCTCCCCGGGGTCCCATGGCGCAAGGTATAAGTACTTCCTGGAATGCGCTGATGAGTGTCACCACGAAAGCCTCCGGAGTTCCTCACAGAACTCGGACCTTCGCCTTCTAGTCTCACCTCAGCAATATCACCTCGCCTCGCTTCGCTCGGCTCGGCTCCCCCAACCCTAAGCGATTTTAAAGGCAACAATATCACATGACCTATCCCAAAACTTCACTAAGTCCCGCTCCCACTGTATATTCTCCTGCAATGCAGTTCTCTGCTTTGCATAGCACATGAGAGACTCTGAAAGAAAGCAAGAAGTAACTAACATTGCCCTCACTATAGGACATACAGTGCCTAAATGAGCGCAACACTGAGAACTAGCCTGGGTATATATGAACTGAAGTGAAACATATGGAAAACATACAATATGTGTCTCAATTCATGCATAGAAGTGTACCTCTCATTGTAAGAAAGCTTATACAGCTCTTACTGCCTGCCTTGGAAGTGATTACATGTTGCTACTGGCCTGTCTAAGTACAAAACTAATATATATTAATGCTGCCCACACAATATCCCATAAATGGCATGCGTCACAATGTTTAATAGATGCGAGAGGCCTCTTGCCAGCCTATGGACATGAACCTAACACCAAGGATGGACATTGAACCTGATATAGCATATTTGCCGAACCCCAGCACTGCATACGCTACATGCCATTGTGCCGTTTCCCAAA